ATCTAACTAAATCATTCACCTGCCAGTTTGGTCAGTTAATGTGACTTGTTCAGTAATTTGAAGTTATTAATAATTCTTTGTATGCAAACAGATTCAACTGATCAGTCTCAGTTGGCTTAAAGTTTCGAAACCAAATACTTTGTGATGCGATTTCTCCAGCTAAAGTATGATTCTTCCTGTCAAAAACTTGAATCCACAACCAAAAAGATCACCTGATTAGGTCAAATGAATGGCACATCTCCCACAATGGCAAACTGGTGGATGACTGATAAGGCAGATCTAATTGTACAATGTGACAGCAGCATAAATTTCTAAACCACGTTACCTATAAATCTCATAGTTAAGAAATTACTGAAGGCCAGTGCTGGCAGGATTAGAAGTTTGCAGATACCAGTAAACAAATTCCTTATTCTGTTGGTAATATTTACCTCAATGCGCACTAGAGGTAATTTGTACAGAAACTTCAAACCTTCTAGTTTTCTTTAGAATTTAAAACTTCCTCAGACTGTGCATCACTTTCTATAATTGGCCATTACATACCTGCTTGTAGGAAAGAGATACAGTGTTTTAATATGATGTTAATGGCCTTACAGCTTTGTGTTCGGTCTTGGAAGGGAATTGTGAAGTTGAGGTGTATAGTTAATTGTGAAAATGTTGAAATATGTAACTTAACATCTGTGTTTAAAAAGACTACATAATGCATAAGGGCATAATTTTCTAAACATTTCTTTTGTAGCTCAAGGTTAGTCAGTTTATCACAAAATATGTTTGATATATTTCTGTTTTTTTTTAAATGCTATCATTCTTTCACAAAGCGTATTACTAAAAAGAGTGATTACGACTAATAAAATCGACCATTAAATATATTTTATTTAATTAAATTAATTATTAGGTATAGTGATTTCACTTAAATATTGACTTGTAATTTAAGATTGTCTAAATTGAAGACTTTTTTTCTTAAAATATGAAGGTCACTTGCTACTTAAATTATAGATGTATGGTAACTGTAGTGGTAGATCCTTTCTAAATACTCAAAATCCATTTATTTTTGTAGGTAATATTTCATTGTTAAAGTAATGCATTTGGCTAAACTAAGCTGCTTATGAAATCAACACATATTCCTACTCTTTCCTTTTCATAGTTTTCCTTGAAGCCTTTTAAAAATGCAATACTTTATTTTATGGTCCATTGTGACATGGTGTACAGAGTATATTTTATCTTGAAAAAGCATTGCTTAATTTGTTACTGTTTCAAATTTTATTTCAATTTTTTAAATTTCACATACAGCATGTTAATATATATTAATCAGTGCAACGAGTGTCAGAACTTTATTGAAAAAAAAATGTTTTTTTATTTAATTTGGGTAGCAAATGGTATATTTTGAATATGCTGTACTTATTAATTCCAATCTTTATTCTCTGTGAATTTTTAGACATTGTCTATATCAGCAGTTTATAAAATTCAACAATTGAAAATTGTAATAATTATAATCAGTTTTAAAGTTCTCATTTGGTTAAACCATGTTTATGCATGATATATGTAAGCATTAAATACAGTCATTACATGTTTTGTTGACCTAAATTGTTTCTGATTGGATAGCTGTAAAATTGTGGGGCTTTCTAAAACTGCTCCACAGTGTTTGAATAAAATCAGATATATTCAGAAAGAATTGCTAGAGCTTAAATATTGACTTATGTTATTGATTTTGTATATGATTCTCATTCTTCTGTTTCAATTCTATCCCCTTGTCTTTTATTTTGAAAGTTCCTCTTCCTGTCCTACACCCATATACAGTACATTACTTCCCATGCTCAGGGGTTTCTCATTCATTGAAGTGAAAAGGTTTTCTTTCAAAAGAAAAATTCACGGAAGAAAAAAAGTTAAAACATTGAACATGAAATGAACATTGAACATTGATGTATTAATGTTTTTCTGTATTTATATATTTACAATATATAGATGTAGCATTGTTTTGCAGTTTCATAAAGTACGACACTAAACAAATGCTTAAGTAAGTACAATATCCTTGTTGATCTTCAGTGCTTTTTTTAGTTTGTTTTACAGTATTTTGTCTTTAAATAGCTGTTTTAAGTTAGACTTTACTTATTTCTGGTTGATTTAATCCAACAAGCTATACCAGGGGATAAGCATGTTACAGTGGTAACTCCCTCAGCTGTGCTCCTTGCACCCATGGCCTTATGGGATGGGAAAGACAGCAGATGGGGTTAGGGCAGAGGGCTGATGCCTTTGACAGCAAGCGGCCTGGTTACCACATAGAAACTGTGAGCATCAGGAAGCTTATTTTCCCCTGAGAAATCTGCCAAGCACTCTGGAAAGGGAAAACCAGTCCTGTGAGAAATGTTATTTGTAAAAAGAAATAACCGAAATTATGATTCAGCAGATGACATACTGCCTGCATTTTATTTTATTTTTTTCTGTGATGCAAATGACACTGAGGGACTCCTGATACTTAGTGAATAAAATGTAAACACTGCTATAATTAAGATCTTCCAGTAGTAAAAGAAATGAACATGTCTGTAATAGAATCTCTGATGTGTGCAGGCACAGTTCACTGTACAGTGTCCCCTTTGTATTTCTTGTTCTCTCTCTGGGATGGTTTGTATTAATTACACGCATGCAATTAGATTTCTGTCATCCTAATAATAAGTTGTTAAAGATAAAGCCGCATCATTGCTTATTACACTGCGCATTTTTCATTTCTCTAATTCAGATTTTCTCTCATGAGATAATGAAAGCTCTGGCTCTTTCTTTCGGAGAAAGAGCTGCCTAGGCATGCATAAAGTCAAGAAGAAAGTTCTTTTGCATTTCTTTCAAAAGAAGGGATGAGTGATGGGACAGAAATTGGGTTGGACTTATTAACCATACCACTCCACAGTGCCCTATTGAGCCGGTGATAATCAAAACCAAAAGTAGAGTATGCTTTGATAGTTTTATCAGTATCTCTTTGCACAGTTTGCCCCATGTTTCACCTTATACACATTTTGAAAATCTGATTTGTGTTTTATGTCAGAAGATACAATACTGCTATTTTCACTTAAGTATGAAGAAAAATGCTTAAATTATTTTTTTTTTAATGACATTAGAAAACTTTTAAAACTGTGTAGCCCAGATCTGTATTTCTCAGTTTACCCACTCACCAGCAATGGATCTGATATTTCTGTGTGATATGCTTTCTGAAAGTACTCTAGTATCCTTGGGATTCATTGGAAAAAAAATGATTCAATCTAAATTAAAATTATATGACTTTGATTGTAGAAGACACTTTGAAGGTTCTAATGATTATTTCTCTTTAACTTCCATGCTGAAATTTAAGGAACAAGTCAGTTTTGTATTTTGCTTGTTTCACAATTTTCCCCCTTTATGTGTGATTTCTCTACCCACCTCCCAGACATATGTTGGCCAGGTTTGACTGGCTACTTTAAATGTGGACTTTTGTTCCAATCAGAGGGATAGCAGTCGTGGACCGTCAGTTCCATTCAATGGATATGCTTCCACAATAGGATGTAGTTTGCCACAACTCTCAGTAGGAGACGTTCCTTTCAAGTAATGGTTGCATTGCTTGTTTTACATTAGCCCACCAGTTCTTGAAGTGTCATCTTTACCTGATCAACCTTTGAATTTGATGCGTAGTACATGTCAAGCCCTGGGAGGATGAAGATATTTTCTAGCTTCAAACACAATTTCAGGAGAGGTAGTTTTGAAGCAGTTTTCTGCTTGGCACACCAACAGAGACTTGTTGCACTATTGTAATCAGACCAAAGGTGACACGCATTTTAGAATGGATACCCCATAATTCTTTATTTTAAAAAAACATTTTTTATCTGTAAATTATATGCCGGTAGCATAGTACATACATGTTATGTACTAGTATCTCCACCACTCAGTCAAATGATTAAATTTGGTCTATTTTTGTTAACTAGTTACCGACTGGATCTGAGATCACAAGGGTATTACAAATAACTAATAACTAATAACTAATAACTAATCTCAGTGTAGCCATTGTTTACAAAACTACATTTTAGGTATACAAAAATAAAAGCTGCACTAATACTTTTGGCATTCTTAATTGCACAAAAATTGCACAAAAGTTTACTACATGCCAGTTTGGGTTATTTTTGATAAACATATGTGCAGATCATAGCAATGCAGTGGTTAGCATTGTTACCTCACAGTGCTGGAGCCCTGGGTTCAATTCCTGGGATACTATCTGTATAGAGAATGTATTTTCTCCCCATGTTTGCTCCAGTTTCCTCCCACAGTCCAAAGACATACTGGTAGGTTAAATGGCTACTGGGAAAATTGGACCTTCTATGAATTTGTGTGTCTGTGAGTGCCCTGCGATGGACTGGCATCCTGCCCAAGGGGTATCCTGCCTGTTGCTTACCGAGATAGGCTCTGCCATTCCCCGCGGCCCTGTAGTGGATAAAGCGGTTAGAAAATGGATTGATATGTGCAGATCAGTAGAAAAGTATGGAAGTTTAAAGCAAAACAATTGAAGATTTTTGTTTCACTTCGAGTATTACACAAGCTCGATTCAAAGAATTGTAGCATTAGTTTTAATAAACCCTATTGCCAGATTTTTACAGTTGATAATAAATACTGCGTACTTCTTAAAGACTTCTGGTTTTGTTATAATACAGCTAGTTATTAACATATTCCATAAAATCTGTTCAGGTTTGTTTCCAATGTGAATGCTATTCTTATTTGAAGGGGCAGATGTAATTAGAACATCAGAATTCACAAATATTACATATCAGAATAAGAATAAGAATTTGATTGGACTTGGTATTTTAGGTGTGTTAGGTTTATTTTGTATATGTTGGTATTCTTCATCTTGTATTTATTTCAGTCTATGTGTCACATTAATATGCTTTGTCCAGATATGATTGAAAGTAGGACTCAGATAAAAATCATATTATATATATTTTCAACTTAAATGATTTAATAATACTTCTGAATGTGTTTCATTCTGTCTTCAGAGAATGAATTTTACCCTTGCCTTCTGAAGCAGACAAGGACTTGTGGCACTGACCAGTGTGGACATTGTGGGACATCTTGTAATTTGACTTCAAAACACATTAAGGTAAAAGTGAATATTTTCTGTTAGTAATATATTCAATACAGCTGTTTCTGTTTTGTGCAACCTTAAAATATAATTCCCACCTTTTACCATTTTCAGATGATTTGCCTTTTCCAGACCTACATACCATTTTTGTTTAAAGAGGGAGGCATATTATTATTCTTTTTAGTCTTTTTAGAAGTAGTAGTAAAATTATAGTTATATTTAATATTACTGTGGTGACTGACCAAATTTTAAAAAGAAAATCTTATAGCTAATTTGTCTACTGTAATTTATTTATTGCTATTTATTTGCTTAGTAGATGTCCTTATCCAGAGTAACATCCGTAGATTCTTAATGGAATGCATTCAGAACCTAATTATTTCAAAAGTATGAATGTGAAAATCTGTCAAATGATTTGTTGGAGAGTCTATAGTGTGTAATGTACTGTAAGTGGCTCCATAGAATAAGATAATACCATGATAATTCATCTATAAATACTGTTCTTGGCATCAGTAAAAAGACATCTTCAAGAAGCTTAACCTAAATTATTTAGAATGTAGTTTAATGATGAAAGGCAGGTTCAAGTTGAACTTCACTGAAATTTTTATAGAAATAAGTAAAAATCTAAGTAAAAAAGAAGAATACATAAATAATTCCTGTTAAATTATTTGACTGAAACAGCCAGGGACAGACACAGATACAGTGGTACAGTTTGTACAGAGTGTAGTCTGCAACTGATTGCTCAAAGAAAAGATACTTTGCTATTATTTACATACATGTTCTGGACCACTATATTTCATAGAAATCTTCCTGTTTGGATACACATTTCCCTTGCCATAAACAGGCTGGAGTCCCGTTTATCTCAAAGTTTAAGGGAAAAATAAATTTTATAGTTCCTTCAAAAATCACCTGTCTTGATCATCCAGTTATTAAACTGTCATCCTATCAAAATACTGCCATGGTGGGCCCTGATCACAGTTGATTATGGGATCCTCTGTCTTCAGAGCCACTGAGCTTTACTCCCAAGACAAGCAGTGAATTCTGCTACAAAATGATTGGGACTGTGGGAGAATTCTGTACTATCAACATATCAAATGGGTGATACCACCTTCTATAGGGGCTCAGTGCCAGTGAGGCTTTAAATATTCTCCCCATCTTAGTTCCTCTTTATTGTCTGAAGCAACCTTTGCAATTGGTAGATGTTAGTTTCTGTAATTCATGTCAGGGCACCAAAATGAGAAGTTCACATTTGATTAAAGCAGATTATGAGCACCCCTCTTTTTACCAGTACCACTAGTGTTGAATGCCACTAACTCAAAAAACTGTCTCTCCTACCCCAGAAAAATTCAGTATTATTTAGGTCACAAAGGGCTAACATCACTTTTTGTAATAGACTAGGTGCCTCTAAATCCTATTTTATGTACAGTTGGCAATCTTCTGTCAGTCGGCACAGTATTTCTGAAAAAGGTAACAAAAGGATTTAGAATTATTTGTCCTTATATACAGTACCTTTATTATTTGAAAGTATTCCAATAAAAAGCAAAATACACTTAAAAGCCATGTTACCACATTCATAATTTGAGAGAAATTTAATATTAGCAGTATGATACTTTAACTGTGAATAGAATGAATATCGGACCTCGAAAGATAAGGAAAGGTTGGACCTTGTTCAATTCTGGGATCAGAGTACTTCATGGAAAACCAGGTTATTGCTGTAGTTGGTGTTGGTGGACATGTAAGTGACACTCTTCCATGTGGATGATGATTTCCAAGCCAATTCCCCAGTAGGGTGACTAGGGACACTGTGCTGTAAAAGGTTATACAGTACCTTGGTATAGTTTATACCAAGGACCTAACTGTGTGGTCATTAAAGATCTCCTGGTATTCCAGTGTTTTTGTTTAATTTGTGCTTTAGGCTTACACAGATCAAACTTCCTAAATGTTTCACTTAATTTAATTGTAAGGTCCTTATTTCCCATTATGAGCTGGTGTGTAGTGAGGCTGCAGATAGTTGATATGCATCACCCAGGTGTTTGTTGCACTTCAGTGTTGGATAAAATGGGCCCCCTACTAAATATGAGGCACTTTGCCTATGGGATCAAAAGTGCTAGATAACTGTACGCAGTTATTGTTATTGTAATTATTATTGTATTTTAAGTAGACTTAGGCCAGTAATGACTCAGAGATGTTATCTCCTTGGGCTTCACTGCTGCATTGCTTGATATTTGTTGTTTGTATTGATGTTTAAAACCACTTGCTTTTAGATAGATTAGATAGAGAAGCTATGACAAGAATATTTGTTTTTGCTTTGTTTTTTAAAGTCTTTTCATGTTGTGAAAATCATTGATATGTCTAAGCCATAATGAGCAGGTATTGTCTATTTTTTTTCACTGAACTTCTGCCTTGCCCCCTTTTTTATATGTTTTGGTTTTATATTTCTTATATCTCTCAATAAAAGTTAGTAATTGCTCAAGATTTTGTGAAGTAGTAGAATAAAAAAAATAATATCTGATTACCAAAAACATTTTCAGTAATTCAGTCAAATCCTAATAAGTTGGACATAGAAGTGAACTGTATTAGAGAATATCACTGAGGGAACGGCAGGTTAAGTGAGGCTGACTGAATCCCCCTCACTTTTGTGAGAAATGAGCTGGGGAGCAGATGCAAGGGTATACAGTAGATGATGTGGAGGGAGGGGTGCAAGAGAGGTGTGCAAAGGGGCATTCAGAAGACAAGATAAATATACAGTATATACTTACAAGACTCGAAAAAGGTGAGAATAGAATCCGACCTTTCTGCTGAGCTTCTGTTGAAAACTGGATCCAATCAATGAGTAAAGTATTGCAATGCAGTACAAATAGTAACATTCTAAAATTTAACAATCCATAAAATGATGTCTTTATTCAGTAGTTTGGTGAGATAAGTTTGAGGGAGTCAAGACTTGCAGAGTATATTTGGCGTAGCTCACCCAGCTTAGGAAATACCAGCCTAGCTAGAAGGACAAGGCTGGCCAAACCCCCTTCTTAGTATTGTGAGGACTGAGCTGAGGAGATTCTGTAGGGGTGTAGATCGAATGTTAGGAAGGGTATGAGAGAGATGCATGACAGGAAGTCCTGGGTGTGAGACTTATATATGTAACTGGCCTGGTTGTGGGAACAGCAGTCTAGCCAAAATAGGGGGGGGTTACAGACCCCCCAGAAGAATCCCCAAAAACCTGTTGCAGAACAAAAAGACTGAGCTAAGAGCAAGTCAGTTTGGTTGCAGTTTTGCAGGACAGAAGTCAAGACAGAAGTACGTGTAACGAATGAAAATCGTATGTGATGCACGACTGCGCTTGTTTGAGTTAGTGGATTTGGATGCAGTGCCTGAGAAACACGTACAGTATGTTGCGGGTGACAAAACACGAGTCAGTGAACAGGTGGCACCAGCAGCTAGCAGCAGTAGCAGGACTGTCTATCTTGGATAGAAACTCTACGGTGGGCAGAAGAAGGCAGAAGAAGGTGACAGGAGGAGTAGCTGTGGCCTTGAAGAGTAGTCTGGCGTGGAATGCAAAACAGACCTGCTGTTTGCTGAATATAACTAGATAATAACAAAGAATTCCCATCTAAATCCCCCAGAAGAGAAGGAAGTATGTGGCTGAGGGCTAGGGAGGAGAAAGAGCTACTGATCAGTTGGACTCCAGTTGGAAAGATAGAAAAGCCAATGCTGTAGTTGCCTAGCCCCAAGTGCTAGGGACAGCATGAGGGTTAATGAGGAAGTCCAGATCTGGTGCAGACTGCTGTGGACAGCAAAAAGAAGGATTGGGAGGAGGGGAGAAAGAAAAAAACATATATAGGCTGGGCCCATAGGTGTGATGGGTTTGACATTCATCCAGAAATGGAGAGAGATATGGTGAGGGAAGAGAGAGGAATTCACAAGAGTAAGTAGACAGAGAAAGAAATGGGGGACTGCCATAGGGACAGCTACTGTGTTGTTCTGGGTTTGTGGAGACCTGAAAGAAATGTGGATGGTGTGGTGGGCTCAGACCTGCTTGTTTTTGGTGAAAGACAAAGCAACTCCAATCCTGCATAAAAGCAATGAGGATAAGGTCCTGGCAATGCCACATGTGAAACAAGTCTATCTGCAATGAATCAAGATGGTAAGTGCTGTGAGGATGCATGCGGTATGAGACAAATGCACTCCATACGATAGAGATGCGCAACAGAAAGTCCTGGGTGCAAGACTTATATACAGTCAGTAGGTGAGGTGAATTGTGCGAGGTTAGTTTCTAACTTTCCTCCCAAATTCCTGTGATAAACTTCTTTATTTAGTCACCGACACTTTCATCCGAATCAAAGTACATGGGTAGAAACTATTTATCAACATCCGGTGCTGATTGTCTTACAAAGACCTTTAGAATTATACATCATCTGAACAATGGAGCTCAGGAATGTTATGTACTGTAATTAGCTCACAGTACCAGTGGGGTTTAAACCACACTGCTCTTGGGAAAAACCGTTACCTTAATCGGTAGGAAACTTAGCATTTAGATGTGCAAAGGAAATGACATTTGAAAACTAGTCTTTTTGTTCAATGCACAGTGCTTGATATTTGAAGCAGTGCATTCAAACAAGCGCAAGTTCAGATGTTTCTAGGACCTGGACTCATGGATAAGCAGTGAAACAGTGATTTTCTTACAATTTCTGGACAGCTAGTAGGTCAATGTTGTGGAATACCCTCCAGTCATCTTCAACAACAGCTATAAAACAGACTTAATGGTAAAAATATTTTGAAAACACAAGAAATACATTTTTTGCTTTAGGGGGTAGTTAAGATTAAGCATCCTTAATTATGCACATAACGGAAATAGATCATTTGCAAATTCATAAAACAGAATATTTGTAGTACATGTACTGTATATTCACTAAGGCATTGTATACAAGCATATTGTATATAATATATTATGTGAATTTATTGGTACAATATATCTACTCAATTCTAATCAGAATGTGTTTATTTTTTACCTCAAATGTGAAAGTTCACCATTTACAATAATGAGAATTTTAATCACTTTTGAGTCAAGAAGGTTATGTAACATTGTGATCAGTGCATTGAATAGAAAATGTTAAGCTCAAATTTAATGTCTGACTGTTTCTCCCACTACTTACAGATTTTTCTTTCTATGAAAATGATTTTCAGATATTTACACTTAACAGGTAATCTCATCACAGAATCACAGAAGGCCTGCAATGTAATACGAATACATTTGTTTTGTAATCTGTTTTGAAAAAGGTATTGTTTCCATATTCACAAAGGAAAGTGCAGGGTGGGGGGAATTCGTAATTAGATTTTTTAAGTTATTAATTGTTTCTAAGAGGATTACTGTGACAAAGCTCTGGTGTTCAAAGAGAGGAGTAATTCGATATTCTGAAACATGTTAAATAATTGTTAAAAGCTAACAGATTTATGTAACAAAAATACATCAATGAGAAACTCTTAACAATTGCATTTGCTATGAAAGAGCTCCATGCAGAAATGTAGTAGTCATTTTCAGTGAATTAATTCAATTAATCCTAATGTATTATTTAAATATAAAAATTTAATAGAGATTTAATTGGAAGGATCTTATGATGAGAATAATTTAATAAAAATTATTTCAACTCATAGTAGTTACGTTGTATTGGACATACTGAAATAAATGTAACTTAAATATGTATATATGTTATATTTATGTGATCATTTTTATATTCTGTTCTGTGCAATAAAGTGATTTTGCAAAAAGGAAAATGATGCACCTTTGCAGCAAGCAACTTATTAACAAAACATATAAAAAATAGATTAAATGGAACAGCATTATTAAGAGAGCTGAAAACATTATGAACACTTTTAATAGTTTTATGTTTCAAGAGCTATTGTTAAATTTGCTGGTTGTTGTGTGATGTGGAAGAGTGTAATGAACTAATCGGGTACATTAGTTTTACAGAATGTAATCTATAGTGTTTGGGAGTTGTTTGTCTCAATAGGCTATAGTAATCAAAAGTAATGAACCTATTATGAGCAGGACCTTAGAGAGCACAGCGTGGCAGTAAGAGTGTGGCACATAAAAGGTTTATTAAAGGAAATTAAGGTCCATCACTGCCACACCTGCTCCCCTATTATAAATGTATGACAGGTCAGTGCCTTCAATCACAGCAGCAAACGAGAAAGAGGAGTCATGTTTCCCATTACCAGTGAAGTAACAGCATATCCTGTGACTCAGAGGTTTCAGAGTCTGTGACCACTATACACAGCCATCAGCCTGGAATAATTATATTTAATAGGTTTTATTTGGGATCTGTAAGCAGCATAGAGTGAAAGTGGATGGATTTTATCAACTATTTTTGTCAAAATACATACTGTATACCTTCAGCACTTTAACACAATAATTTCACATTATTTTTCCTCCAAAAACTTTCAAAGTTTACATTCACCGGCTGTGCCTTATTGAAGAACATTGCAAAGTGTGCTGTCAGCTTTTATTTCTCCATGGATTTTCTTTAGGTTTTTTTTCCCCCCATCATCCTACTTCCATATAACATTATTCTAATTAAAAAAATGTTGAAGATTTACAAAATCCCAAACGTTTGTAAACACAGCCTTTGGAATTAATTATGAGGCTTGGGTTGACTGTGACTGTAGAGCATCTGGAGTTTTGATATCCCTTTTGGCATAAAAGCTTTCTATGTCAGTTTCGCTCTGAAAAAAATAAACGTTTTCCTACATATATAAGGCTAACTCACCAGAGTACAATTAATGACTGCAAGGTTTTAGTTTGATATTGATTTCTATTTCACTACTTCTATATTTAATTTAAGTTTATAATATTATTCATTAAGTAGTGATTAATGCTCCAAAATTGAAGTGCAGTCAATTATTTATTGCCAAAGTGAGATTTAAAATGAAATGAATCATTTATTCCTGTCTCTGTAGTTAAATATTTAACAAAACAATTAATAGGGTGTAACAGTTAAACAAAATTAGTATTTGAAAAACAAAAAGGAACTATAATTTTCAGTTCATCATGAACATCTGAACAGTAGAGATGAGTGCTGTTTAAATCAAAGCACCAGGGTAACAAAATTAATAATTTTACTTATTTATTAAGTGTTTAGAAGTCAGTGAAGATTTTGCTTTAGTAACCTTTTGCTACTGTGACCACACTGCAAGTAATACAGTTGATGTGTTTGCATGGTGGCGTCTGATGCCAACAATGAGGCTGTCAGGACAGTTGTCTTTGTGATACCATCTGTTAGCATTTTCAGGAATATGTTAATAGAAGAATTTCCAACACCATTTACAAATTCTTGATGTTATACCATACCAGTGTTAACAAATTATTAACCTCTAAAGCTACTAAAAACAGGGATATATCTAAACGGTATAGATATGATACAACATTAATTAGACAAATATGTTGGCAGTATTGCAAAATGCGATGGCTACAGGATGAATTCATGAACATTTTCTTTAATCATAAAATATATGTAATTTTAAACAAATTAAGCAATCTTATTAATATAAGATAAAAAAGAGTCTTAGTACTAGAAAGCAGAAAAATTGAAAACTGAAATCACTTGTTTTATAGAATAAATAAAATATATTTACCATCAGTGAAGCTCCCTTTCAAATACTCTTACGGTTCTAAGTGAATATAATATAATAGCAAAGGTGCAATAGTCATAATCACACTCTGTATTTAAAAATAATATTAGTTCTAATTCGATTTTTTTAATTTTACTAGAATTACAGCCACATTACCAAGTCAAATTGCAGCAAGTAGTGTTCATTGGAACAAGCAGTGGTTACTTCTACACTGAAAAGAAGGAAAGGATGTGAAGGGTTCATTTCTTCTTTTTACTTTTCAGTGTAGAAGTAACATCTGCTTTCATCCTGCACACACACAGCTCCCGATTTGAACCTCTTTAAAATATTTCTTTGGACACATACAGTACATAATTGTGTTGACTGCATGTTTAACATATCAAGCAGATAGGTTTATGGATTGAGTAATATGTGTTTTTTGGCATAGCAAAATACTGAGCTCCAGCCATGTCATTGCATTAAAATGGTGCTCCGTGTTTAGTATGCGTGTTGACTTGAGTTCAATTTGCCAAAATGCCTTGATTAAGAATCTGTTGTAAATATCCATGGAAAAAGATTTGATTGCAGTTAGCTCAAGATCAGCAAGAGCAAAATATATCACCATACCTCACATGAATATTGACAATCACATGGTTGTTATGAGAGAAGTTGCCAGTAGATGAAGAGATGTTCTGCTTCAACATTTATCAGAAACGAGAAAACTGACACTGATGGCTAGGCCACATCCAGGAACGATAAGGGTCACCATATTGACTCAGGGCCCTCATTATTCTGGCTTAACTATCTAAATTTTTTTTTCCAACTGCAGTGGCTACAGTATACAAAATTCCAGGACTGAAAATCATCAGTATAATGATTGTAACTTGCTGTGTGTATAAAAATGATCTGCATAGCAGTTTAGTAGTGCAGAGGAGGGACGAACACTCTGACGTCAGAGGTGGTAGTAAAGGGAATGATGGAGTGTTTAATTCACCAATCAATACTGTTTTTCCCTTGACAGACCTAACATAATAGAACAATTGCACAAATGCCGTTATCAGCACTGTGATGACTATTTAGTTGTTCAAGCCAACCAGTGGTACAGTACAAATATAATGAATTAGAGAAAATTTCCTTTTAAACCAGAACTTTACAACTTTGATTTTTAATCTTACTGCTTAGCCGAGTGTCTACAAAGGGCTGAAGCCAATGGTTTCTCTGTTCCTCCAAGCCAGTACTGATTTGCCAGCGGGGCAATGTAGGATAATAGTCACAAGATGACAGTGGCAGTTTTTGAAGAAATGGTCTTGCCACAGCCAGCTTACTGTACAGTCCTTGGCCCCATAGACCATGAATGTGACCATCTTGACAAAGCCATCAACAAGAGAGAAATATAACTGGCCAGCCTGAACCAGGTAGCTGCCGCTATACAGGTGGTGTGGCAGCATATCCCACAGCAGTTTATCCAGAGGCTGATTGAGTCCATGTGTCAGTGGTGTTTGACATCTGTGTTTAACACATTTTATTATATCAATTTGTTATGCCTGCCACATTTATTTTAAGCAATAGTATGTACAATATATATTTTCCATATACATAATACATGATCATGCTTTCTAAATTCAATAGATTGGCAGGTGATATGGCTTAAGTATTTCTTACTTCATAATAAAGCCTTACTGTATGTCAAATTCAGTAGTGTAAGTGGACATTTGAAAGGTCACTGTGTTTTAAAGTTAAGCAGCATTCTGAACACTGCTATATACAGTAAAGTGTTGGAAATGTTAATAATAATTTCACAACTGCTGTAATATATTGTTTATTTACCAATAATTAACATTATAGAGATGAAAAGGAATCTTTTTTTATGTTTTTCCGATACTTATGTTTTTAAGTATTTAAGATACTTGATAAATTATTACAATGTGTTTCACAACTAAATGCCTCACATTTCTTTTGTAGATGGAATCAGAAAGTGAAGAAAAGAGAGTTCAGGCATGCAAAGGAAGCAAGGGTGAGTAGTTTTGTAAGTGTATCTTTATGTATTGACTAATGCACTGTAAAAGTGTACTGTATTCTTCAGTAAATCTCATATACAACACTCAGTACCCATGCAGTATGATTTTGATTTTAATGCCCATGTTTTTCTAAAGCTGAAGAGCATAGGTAATATATTATGCACTAGGGAATGGGTTCATTAAACTGTAATATTAGCTCAAATTGGCCAAGAAGTACATTTATATTGTACATTTGATTAAAATGGCTAGCCAGGGAACACCATTATACTAGTTTTCAAAGCCTCTTAAGTCTCCTCTTATTGACCACTGTAGTCATTAATACACCTCTGAAATATATGGAAGGTTTATTGGTTTCACTCTATGAAAATAGGGTGCACTTGTGAATGAGATTTTGCATCTCAGTGTGCTCTTCTGATGAAATAAATTTGAATATGATTTAGAAATCATGCTGTCAAACTCCTTTCTGTGAAAGCAGTGCATTACATGCACTAGAAAACATATAACCCCAGTTTAAACACAGTGTTTAGAAAGAACAAAGAAAACCCCAAGAGGTTGGCTGAAGTGCGTACAACTGTCTCCGCCTGCCACCTCAAACAGTTAAGCTTATTATTCAAAGGGGCTTTGATTTTCAAAAGGAGACAAAAAATATTTCAGTAGTTTGGTTAGATCCTAATGAATGCGAGAGAAAGACGAATATGTATAGAATAGCTGGCGAGACTTGCCTAGCAAAGAGAATGACACGCCACCCAGGGCTGGATAGACTTCCCAAACCCCCCACTTCACTACTGCTGCAAGGGTGTAGATGGAGAGGTGAGGGGGATGGGAAGGGAAGACTTGGGTGCAAGACATATTGTACACAGGCGAGCACCAGTGTGCAAGATGAGGATCTGACCTTCCACCCAAACTTTTGTTTAAAAATAAAAGGAAAAAAGAAACCGGTGTGTGTATCTTATATATACTGTATGCTCAGGCAAAATTAGTGTCACTTGAAGTATTTTTGTATTTCTCACATTTTATTGATGTTTTATGTGGTGTTCAGGTGTCGCTGAATTATTTTCCACAGCTATCAAATACATCAAAGTTCTGACACTTGACAAATCTGCATCTACAGTAATTCTAACACTTCTGCATACAGTATATGGTATCCTGTGATATTGTTGACTGATGTATTTAACATAATTACTAAACAAGAACAATTTAATTGGCAACCAATTTAAAAGCCCCAAAGTATAACATCTTCCCGTATAAAAAGCGATTACGTTATATATTTTTCAAAGATTTTTCATGATTGAAGAATGTTTGTCAATTCCATTATTTTTTATAGCAAAAATTGGAATCTACTTTGGTCATGACTCATTTTTTGTTGTAATTTTTTTTCATTACAACTGGATTCCTATAAAATGCTAATTATTTAAGATTTTTTTTCTCCCAAATTAATAAATGTGCAATCGGACAGCATATACATATGACCAATACTGACCTTTTCTTGATTTCATTTTGATTAAAAGTATTTACATTTTTTCATAATGTCTTATCTTTAAATGTTAATAAAATCTTTACCTACAATAATGATCCCATCCACAAATTCCAAACGAGGTTCTTACTTTTTGATGTGAACACCAAGCTGTCTGCTTCAGCTTGTGTGGTTTAACATTAGAGGGCTCAATGAGAATGCTGAATAAAATGCAGTTCTGCCTTCACTTTGCAAAAGGATTCGATGTCAATACTCCTATGCAGGTTGTTTTGGCAGAAGGCTCACCTATTTTTCTGACATGGGCCAGTACTGCTGTTAGTCTGAAGCTCTCGTGCAAGCTTCCAAACTATTGTACTGGAAATGTAAACAAGTTAATTTTTCTCACTTTCTTTTCTTTCTATTGACAGTTCCTGTTGACTCTATAGCCCAGGCTCTAAGGTAGGAATGAGTTAACGTTTATGAAAAAAGGTTAATATTGTAGTTTGATTTCACTGCTGACTAAAATATGTTTTATATTTATTCGGCCATCCATTTTCTAACTGCTTCATCTAATTCAGGGTTGCGGGGAGCAACCCTGCGACCGGGGGCAACCAACAGGTGCAAGGTGGGATACACCCTGGACAGCAGTTTATGGCAGGGCACACACACACACCAGGATCAGTTTTCAGGCCAATTAACCTACCCAGGAGCACCTAGAGGAATCTGGGAGGAAACAGGGCAAATATGCATCTCACAGTATATATATGTGAAACCTTTGGCTTCACATTTTTGCATACTACAATGCAGCTGACAGTTTTACAAAACAAAGTAGTGCAGAAATAAAAGAAAACATTACAAATTGCCAAACTATTAACTATTAACAAAAAGAAGTCTATAAAAATAACTTGTTTCACATTATATTTTAGGTTACACTGAAAATATAAAATGTTCTCATAAATTCCACATTTTTCAATTAAAAAAGCAAATCTAAAGACATACCAATTCATTGCATACCAATATATTTTCCATAGATGACATCACTATAATCTTATCATCTTATAACTATAATATTGGATTTTCAGTATTATCAGTACATCGTAAAGGTTCACTAAATATACTGCTGTATGTATACACAGTATATGTCACAAAATAATGAGTTTAGGCAACAGCATTTTGTTAATAATGATACTCATCTAAAAAAATAGATACATGGAGTTGTGAAATATCTCACAAGAATATAAGAATGTTACAAACAAGAGTAGGTCATACCATCGATTTTGTTCATTTGGTAGTAAGTAATTGGTTCAAGGACCTCATCCAGCCATTTCTTGAACAAAACCAGGGTTCTGACTTCAACAGCATGGCTGAGTATCATGTTTTGTACATTTTGGGTAAAGAAATGCCTCCTGTACTCAGATTTAAATGCATTTACCTATAGTTTCCACTGATGTCCTCTGGTTAATGTTTCACTCTTTCTTCTGAGGCAATTCACAGGGTTGACTTTGCCAATGCCTTTATAAGGATATAGAGAAATTGACTGAGATATCCTCATATTTTTCTGCTTTCAAGGAGACTCTTTTAGCCCGTCCATGTAAGACATTCCCTTAAGTACAGTAATTTATCTGGTAGCATTTGTTTCGACTGATTCCAGTGCAACAATACCTTTTTTGCAACAAAAAAAATAAGAATGGTAGCAAATGACAGAAAGCAGTCTACAAAGGAACAAGTAAACTAAGGCTTATTTGATTGCCGAAGAAGGCCCCACAGCTGAAACATTGTGTTTCCTTTTTTCTCTTTTCAGCATGGAATAAACCTTTAACTTGTTCCTTTGCAGCCTACGCATGCTGATGCAGCTACCTACTTAAACTACCCAAAAGCAGTCTAGCCCATTTGGTAGTAGCTTACTGATCCAATAATCTTATCCAGCTGTTATATTAAGGAATCCATGATATTGGCTTCAACAGCATGCCTGATAGCTTGTACAATACTACTCCAACCCTCTTTGTGTAAAGAAGTGCCTCCTGTTCTTTATTTTAATTGCATTTCTATGTAGATTCCATTTGTACCCTCTAGGTTTTATTTCACGGTTTATCCTGAAGTCTACTTTGTTGACTTTTTCAATGCCATTGAGGATGTTGAATACCTGTATTAGGCCTCCTTGTTATGCACACAACATTCTTCAACTCACTGTTTTCTACTTTATATTTATAGCTAATGTTTGCATGTCTTCCATGCAACACCCTGCACCTGTCTACCAGGTGTTTGCCTGTCTAATATTTAAAAAAAAATCTTTTTGAATTATAGTTGCATTTATATAATTTAATAGTCCTCTTATTTTGGGTTACAACGACTAGTTTGCTAAATGTATCTGAATGCAGATTATTATTATTAAATAGATTGGGAAGAGCAGCAGTCCTGGTATAGATCCCTGTGGTACTCCACGGATTTCATGGCATCATGAAGAATTGTGTCAGCATCTTGTTTCCTTAAAAAAGGCAATCAGTAAAATACCATCTGGCTTTGGAGATTTCTGCCACTTCTAAGTCCTCAATATTTCAACCACAAAAGGGGTGCCCTCTGAGTATAGATTGTGCCCTTCATTACACACATTGAGAGATGGAGCCTGGGTCATGTCATGGTCAGTGCCTTTAGGATTCAGTGCCATGGGAGCAAAGTAGGATGATACCACTCCATGCTATGGCAGCCTTCCCATGAAGAAGTGTGTAGGTGAGAACATCAGGCAACGATTTTTGCCTTGCCATTGATCATCTCAGCTCACGAGACAAATGAAC